CTGGGTAAATTTAAAAAATATTTTTAGAACATTAAATTATATTGAATGTCTGTGTATAAGGACTATTTTTACTGACTTGCTGGTAAATGTTTAATGTAACATATTCTCAACAGGTTTTTCACACGCTAGATATGTTCATCTAAAAACTACTTGACTTTTTTTTTTGTTTGTTTGTTTTTTTCCTTACAAAAGTCTTATACCTAGTATGCATACAAAATCTCAATGCAAAGTGTAATGGGTAGTAATTTACATCGTAGCTGTTCTGCGGCGGACTGAAACCTAGCAGGAGCATGCAATCAAAACACTACAAACCAGCAGCTCAAGGTGTTGGGCTCCCCCGGCTCTCGCCGGTGTCTGTGGGTCCAGCCGGTGAGCAGGGGTACGGACCTGCCAGCCTGGGACAGACAGAGGAGGTCAGCATTTTCAGACCTGATGTTCCCAAACCCAGATCCAGAAATTCAAACTACTGGCGACATCCTCCTGCGTTTTACATGACACCGTACTCGCAGAACGCCGCTCTGCTTTGAGTAAATCTTCCCATTTTTATTTATCCCCTTCCGAAGCACAAGTGTCCCCGCACTCCTGAGCACTTTAAGGAATAAATTTGATTGTTATCACAGTCCTGGCTGATGAGACTCAAGATCCTTTCTGAACAACTTCCAGTGCTACATGTATCCCAGCCGCTCTCCAAACAACAGACCTTGCTCCATGGAGTCAAAAGACTCGTCTTTCACCTTGAGGCAATGCAGAAATTGCGCGGGACACCAGATTAAACCAGGACACCAGACGCCACGCAGGACACCAGATTAACGCCTTGTTTTTGCAAATAGAGTGCCGCAGGGGCCTGCGTGCCCTCAGAAACAAGTGGTGCTGCCGGCACCATGGCCGCAGCGCGGGCAGGCGGCAGAGGGGCTCAATGGGCCTTTGCCTCAGAGGCTTTTAAAAAACTTAGCATGAGAGTGAGGAATGACTAGTACAAGAAACACTTAATGTTTGTTCAAAGGCCTAACCCTCAGCACCTCCGATGGGTGTTCAGCATAATGCGGGATCTGGCCCCAAACCCTTCTGTTGTGAAAATGCTAAGATTACAGAGCGCTTTTGCTCCCGCAGTTTTACCTCAGTCGTGGCTCGTAGTCTCTCTGTCTGACTTACGTTTGCTAGAGCCAAGAAGAAAGCCATCCAAATAATTATAATGCTTAAATAACTAGATACTAGTTTTACATCTGTTTAAGTCTTTTTTAAGCGTTTCTTTTTAAATCATGATCCTCTTCATTCAGTTGTCCCTTTTTGGTTTGGTTTTATTTTTTTGCACTTTGTGTATTCATCCCCATTGGAAGTACTCTAATCTCTTCCACAGTAGTAAGTGGTTCATAAGCAAAGTATAATTGATCTAAGCACGAAGTCCTCGTTTGGAGTGATCTTATATTTGTATTAACAAAAGCATAATCTTAGCATTATTCATCAGATGCATTTTTAGTATCAACAGCTATAATATTAAAATTATACAGCATCAATAACAGTTTTTCAAGGGCTTTAGAAGAAAAATATAAGCATAAACAACTCCAGTGTCATCGACTAGTTCCTGTAAAATATTAAGCAGAATATTACACAAACAGACCATTTTATCATAAGTAATATAGAGCCAAATTAGGCTCAGATTATCAAAACAGTGTAGCACTGCTGAAGAAAACAGAGCTATGCCGATTTGTATGATAGGAGAAGATAACTCAAATTGCTTAACCCCTTGAATGCTAAATATCTACCTAAATCTCACGAAAGGTTTAAAAACATTTTTTTGGATTGCTTTCTCAATGTTTAAAATATTCAGAAATATAAATACGGCAATTCATAATTAGGGTGCAACATTACGCTATTAACATAATTTTCCCATCACACCTTCCCCATTTGAGGGCTTGTAATTTGTTGTGGGATGTAGGAAGAAGTTATAAAGTTCTTTCCCAAGAATTCCCTTGGCTGCTCCGTACTGGACACGGCCACAGCTAGATGGGTATGGCTTCATGGACATTTCTACCAAGAGAGATAGTAGAGCCTGGGGCTCTGTTTTCTTTGATTAAAAGCTGTCTGTGAAAAGCCTACATCTTTATAGTGGGAGTTACAAAGATTGTTCTATCACCAATACATGTGCATGATAACAGAGGAAAGGAAATGCAAGGGATTTTGGGACAAAACAGGGTCCTTGCTCAGATGAGCCTGGCTTTTTATTTTTCATCCCCTAGAATCCATTTGAATGTAAGTATTTGGAAGAGTTTGGCAATATGCAACTTCCACCCTTGGAAAAAAACACGAGGGAAAAATCCTCCAGAGAAAATGTCATCCTCAAGCTTTTTCACTCCAGTTCTTGGTGATAAAGTCTTTGTTTCAACTGTGAAGTTTGCTATAGAAAGGCTATTTATTTTTGAGTAACAGACCCCCAAAGAAACTCCCTCTTTCCCCTCACCTTTTAAAAATGATGAGAACTAATACTTTGTTAAATGATCTGACGACTTATGTTCACCTACAGATAATATAACACCTTAGAAGAAGTTTCTCATTAATATTTTGGCTAAAAAAAAAAAAAAAAAAAAGTGACTGAGTTACTGTGTAGCAAGTGAATTTTGGTTTAATTCAATTCCTGTTTGTGTGCTACACTGGGCTTGTGTCCTTGCACTGTCCCCTACAGCATGACACCTTCCCAGGTGGCCCAGCTGCCCTGGGCATGGTGCTGCCCCATACCTCCATGGGCTGCATTTCCCCACACTGCAGCTTCATTCTCCCTTTTCCTGTCGTGCACTGTGTGGGACCTGAGCTGCTAATGCTGCTTGTTAGTAATTCCGTGGCTCCTCTTTTTTATTCTTTCTCTCTTACCAGCAAACCATAGGTCCCTTCGGAATCACCTTTCTCCCTCAAAAGTTTTGCCCTCTCCCACTGCTTTGTAACACCTGCGCTTGTCACATTCTGCCTTTTATTTCTGGCCACCCTCCTTCTCCCACTCAGATAAGCAAATCGCCTCAGTACTCCCTGAAGTGGGCACCTTACAGCAGCAAGGCCCCCATATACCTCAGAGCCCTGCTTTCCTCCACACTGTCCCTTCCTCCTGCTCATGTGCTTAAACCAAACCTCTGAGAAGTCTTCTAAATTTGGCAGAGATGTATTTTGCCTCTCCTTTCCAGTGGTTGTACTTACAATGGTACCATGCATGGCCAATGTCATGACCTCACTGTGCAAACCAAGGCTGATTCACTGCCATAGCTACTTTCCAGGTTCCTTCCTTCAAGGGGTTCACTTGTGACCTTGCTGCAGCTTGAAAGGACAGGGAAGATGACTGCTTACTTGGCTTCTCCAGTTCACTCATGGTCATCTTTCTTTTCTCCTAGTTTTTGAGGAGACCTCCCAGAGTGGTGGACTATCAGCCCAGCAAGTCAGCGTAGGATATCTTTGTGGACTTGCTTCCCAGGTTTTTTTGGTTATGAAAAACATAGTGATTCAGACACATATGGCAGGACAAACTATAGACAGATGGTCATTCCAGGGTTTCAGCTCCACTTCTGAATTATGCTGATTTTGTGCAGTTACACAACATAAGGCAATCCTTACGTAGATAGACAAATTTCAGGAGTCCTCTTTGTTTCAAGAAGTTAACCTGTGTCCCAACACAAAAGATAACAATTAGAGTAGTGATTCTCAAGTTAGGGGTCCACCAAATGGGGGTGAACTTCAACAGAAATTCAATAGCAAAACGTGGATTTGCAAACAGGATTGCCTTTACAAGTCTGGACATGAACCCAGAAAAACTGAAGTCCTCAGCAAATAAGTCTGGAATGCTAAAACATATCTCCAAGTATGTGGCTCCTAGACCCAATAACACTAATACTTGTACGGCACTTCAGTTGCAGCAAGTAATAAGGGAGTGTAGCTTGAACCAGATACAAGAAATCACCCATTACGGCATATCTAGTGCAGCTCTGTTTAAAAGAAACCAACACGCCTGTGCTCTGTTTTGCTGCTTTTGGCGCTTCAGTATCTTTATTATGAAAATAACATAATAGAGGATTCAGTCTATTTTTGCTTTCTGAGGTGGCTTGTAATAGTTGCCCAGACAGGTAAGTTGAACTGCTCTTCATATTTAAGGTTGTTGCTTCAGGATAGCTACCGTGAGGGCCACCAAGGGCATTCATCAGGGCACAGGATATGCCTTGGAGACTGGGCCCCTCCCTACCTGTGTTGCCATCATGCTCACTTGGAAAAAACAGTTGTTAATTTAAATGACAGAGAGATTTGAATTTGTTTTCCCTTAGGAATAAATTAATAAAAATATTTCACCAAGAAAAAATCAGTAAAATTTTGCATTTGTATTTTCTGACGTATGAACAATCAACCTAATAATGTAAAAGCCTTAATTCAGCACCTACTTTTAAATATGTGGCTAAATTTAACCACAGAGCAGTTTCACTTAAATTAAGACAAAAACGTTAAAGAACCTTGTTGATCTAAAGAAACTGTAAAACTTAGTATACAAAACCAAATTCATAAAAAGGAAGTTAACAACTACAGGATTTCCAGATGCTTGCTAGGCTTGTATAATTAAAAAATACAACTGAGCTGCTTAATGGATAAGACAGTGTTTCCAGAGAAGATAAAGAAAACTAAGCATACACCATCACATTCATTACTTTTTCCTTTCTTTCACTCATCAAATAAAAAACGTGTTATTGTTTTAAGCTTTGACTCTAAATCCTAGCTGCATTTGTGTAAAATAAAATGAATCAAAGATAGCTGCAGGTAACCAATCTCTTCAATTTGACACATCCAGACAACCTTTTATTGTGTTTAAATACGAGAATATTTTACTTATTGCAAAGTATCCTGCATAATACAGGTGCTCTGCTATAAAATAATCTCTTTTGCCTATAATTGTCATTCTAAATTTAAAATACCATTATACAGTACTAAAACCTCCAATTGAAGTTTAATATAAAAATATCAGCACAAAACTCCTTTTTAAAGTCTGTTTATTGTGAGCAACCCAAATGCCTGTTTAATTATTATTAGTTGTAGTATATTAATAGACTTTGCACCCCTACAGTTGCTAATTCATACCATCTCGGGTATTTTGATGAGATAAGAAATACTAAGTAAGAAAACAGTAAGTATTCAAAGGGTTAATTTGCTTAGAATAATAATAATAAATTAGTTTTTTGCATCTTCTTCAGTTCAAAATCCAGCTTTGAGACTGAGGAAGGCTTCCAAATCACATCAATTAAATAAGAGTGGTCCTTTTAACCAGTAGCAGTTTGATTGCCAATGACTCGAAGAATCTCTTTATGAATGCTTGGTTCCTGTGTATTTATACTTGTATCACCCACTTGACCATCTTCATAACTAAAAAAAAAGTACAGAAAATAAAATCAAATTAGTGTTTTATTAATCTACCTAAAACCATCCAAAACTCTGTTTCATTCAATAATCAAGAGTGCTTATTCCATATGTTAACATGTTTCTCTTAAAACCCTCTGATGCACTTCACCATTATATGCAGATCCTAAATTCTAGAGAGCAACGGGTGGTAAGGCTGCCATTGTTATTGAAACCCTGAGGGTGAATATCTGCTAGGACCCAAAGGAGACAAGTCATAGATGAGAGGGGAAGCACTCACATCATAGACAGGAAGCCTTTAAAGAATTCCTCAGCTTTAAAACATACAGCCAAATAGAAATTGTATTTTATGATACATGGATAGACTTACTGTAACATGAAGTAATGCTATAGAGTGGGAAAAATCAGCAAGTCTCATTAATTTATCCTGTAACAAAGCATCTACTAAACCTCTGTCACTAGCTTATCCATACATTTCCTAACAAAAGTAAGTACAGAGAAAGATAAAAAATGAAGCGATACCGAAAAGAATTAGGAAGAAACACCTATTAGCTACTTCCATTACAACTATTGGAGGCAACATGGGGAAAAAGGTCTAGGATGAACAGAAGTTGAATGTTAAAAGAAGATTTGTACTCACACAAAGAAAAATCTTGTACACACATGATCCGTATTGGGAACTACCCATATCTCTCCATGTTTGTGCAGATCGGATGAGGTTATCACTATCAGGGAAATAATAAATTTCACAGTGATGAAAACATGCCTGGAAAATACGGCTTTAAAAGATTTGCTTTTTTATACACTTTAAACAGCCCTCTAGGAAAGTGTAGTTTTCCACGGCATGTCTGTGGTGTGTCATAGACTCTGAGTTGGCTGATAGTACAAACAGGGAGATGAACTTGATTCTTGTTTCCAAGATATATTTTTCAGAAAACACAAATGCTTGATGTATGGGAGCCAGCTGTTAATTGGAATGAATTTCCAATTTGCATTTCTTAAAATCTGATTTTAAATGTCCATAGGGCTGTTAAGAAGGGACTGAGTCAACTGATCAGCCTTTGGAACAGATATTTGTGTTTGATGCTGGCTGAGCCAAAAATAAAACATTAAAGACAGTCTGAAACTGAGATATGACAAATTTGGGATTTGCAATTCTACCACAATATTTAAAAAATTAAGCATAGCAATTATGACTCAAGGGGATCATGAAGCTTGCCAAAACTTGCTCAATGTTCAGAAAACAGCAATGTATTTGATGACAGGTTGTTTACCAGCAGAATGAGGACAACACAGGAAAGAAACCTTTTTATTGCTAGGTAGAAGCTATACCATCAATCCATATTCGATAAGATTTCTATAAATGCATTTTAAAAGCATCCTTCTGGACAAGTCGTCCAACTGTGGGATGTGCAGGTTCACAGTGTGCTGGGTGAAGAACGGGCTGAAGGACAGACCTCTAAGAGTTGTAGTGAATGGGGCTACATCTGGCTGGTGGGGTTCCTCAGGGTTCAGTTCTAGGGCCCGTTCTGTTCAATATATTTATCAACGATCCGGAGGCAGGAGTTGAAGGCACCATTAGCAAGTTTGGTGATGATACCAAACTGGGAGGTGCTGTTGACTCTCTTGAGGGACCGGAGGCCTTGCAGAGGGATCTAGATGGATTGGAGCATTGGGCTGTGATTAATGGGATGAAATTTGGCAAGTCAAAATGCCAGATTCTGCACCTGGGACAGAGTAATGGCAGGCACAAGTATACATTGGGAGAGGAATGGCTGGGCACCAGCCCTGCAGAAAGGGATCTGGGGGTGCTGACTGACAGCACGCTCAGTGTCAGCCGGCAGTGCACCCCGGCAGCCCAGAGGGCAAACCGAATCCCGGGGTGCATCAAACACAGCCCCACCAGCCGGAGAAGAGGGGGCATTGTCCCACTGTATTCAGCGTTGGTGCGGCCTCACCTTGAGCACTGTGTGCAGTTCTGGGCCCCACAATTTAAGAAGGACGTGAAGCTCCTCAAACACATCCAGAGGAGGCCGAAAAGCCAGTGAAAGGACTGGGAGGAATGTTCTATGAGGAGCAGCTAAGGACTTTGGGTTTGTCAAGTGTGGAAAAGAGGAGGCTGAGGGGTGACCCCATTGCTCTCTACAGCTTCCTGAGGAGGGGACGTGGGGAGGGAGGTGCTGAGCTCTTCTCTCTGGGACCCAGCGATAGGACACATGGGAATGGTTCAAAGCAGCACCAGGGGAGGTTTAGAGTGAATATTAGGAAGCATTTCTTTAGCAAAAGGGTGGTCATACACTGGAACAGGCTTCCTAGAGAAGTGGTTGATGCCCCAAGCCTGTCAGTGTTTAAGAGGCATTTGGACAATGCCATTAACAACATGCTTTAACTTTTGGTCAGCCCAGAATTGGCCAGGCAGTTGGACTAGATGATCATTGTAGGTCCCTTCTTACTGAAATATCCTATCCTATGCTATCCTATGCTCTCCTGTCCTAATACTATCATGAGTAAATGCATATTCGATTTTCATACCATTTCTTCCATTAACTGTAATTTTTCACAAACATTTATCTCTTGTAATAATTTTATTTAAAATTGGTATTAACCATCTCCCCTAAACACTTTTTTTTTCACAGAAAAATGAAGTGAATATGAAGTAAAATATATTTTACCGAATATTTAAAATTCACCCTTATAAAATTGTCAAGTGTGATGAAAGAATGACATGGATGAAAAAGTCCTTGTGAAAGATGCAATTTTTATTTAGAAACTTCAGGCATTAAAGGCCAAGTAAATTCTAGCAAACCCTGGATTCATTTCATATCTTCTGAAAGTTTTAGAACTAAACTTGTATATTTTTCTGTCTGGATCAAATTGCATTTTTATGTTGGCTGACTTCTCTTTAATCAAATTAAATATTTCACTTGAACAGTCTCAAAAATATATATATTAAAAAGTAGCACATATAGCTTAAAGCTTCCATTTTGAACTAACATCTATTCTACTGCCTGTCTTAATTTTCTACTTTTAAAAATGAACAAATGCTCCAAATGAAGGGCAAACTGAGTTTAATATAACTTCTTCTTGTTTGGCCAATGAGACAAATTAACAATTACTGGTACCATTCTTATTCAAATTTCATAATTCTTTGTTCTCAAAACCTGCTGAGGTTTCACTACATATTAAAATAATAGCTAAGTCTTTCAAGAATGACTGTACTCATATGCACTGGATTTTAACTTCACAAAATTTTTTAAGTAGTCAGAGAGATCAGACTGGTTACCAGATGAGTAGTATACTTGCCTGAACAGTAAAAAAGTATTTGGAAATTCAATAGGAAAACTTTTTTTTTTTCTGACTGTTAGGTGTTTAACGCATTTGTGAAGAGCTTGCAAGAAGTCAGTTTCAGATAAGGCCATCTTCAAATAACGGTTATCTTGATGGCACAGGATTACAATCACATTTGAAAGCCAGACCAGATGATCAGTCGCTAAGTGCATATGATTATTTCATGAAAATTCAGCATGTGTGACAGACTTTGTTTGACGAGGGAATTGTTCTGAACTGAAATTTTGCCGATGATACCAAGCTGTTTGGTGAGGCAGACACGCTGGAGGGGAGGGATGCCATC